TTTTTTTTTTGAGGGGGTGTAAAGACTTCAACTCAACAAAGGACTCGGGTTTTGCTCACCTTTAATTAGCAACAAACACCTGGAGGTGAATCAAAACACCAGAGTTTAGTTCAGACACAGGTTTTCAAACATGCAACATAAAAATCTGAACCGAACTCTCCAGCTCGTCTCGTGAAAACAGCTGATTATCTAAACAAACAAGAATCCTCCTCGACCACTGCACACGTACCCAGGTCGCAGTTCTTCATCACTAAAGTTCTAAATGTGTTAAAAATCCTCTTTCATGCGTTTATTTCAACCGTCCCTCGTTCTGTCGGAACAGATGCAGACGGTGGGAGCAACGAACCTATGACAATAAATAGTGTGCCGGGGGGGGGGGGGGGGGTGTCGTAGTAAAATGTCTGAGAGACATGGGGTTAAATTAAACGTGCTGCCATCGCCTCGTGCCTCCACCGTACGGGATGACACCGGAGTCTAATTGATTGCTTCCAATTACACGGCGACTGCTAATGGGCGCCGGCGCTAACACGTGGATGCTAACGTTCAGTCCAGACCCCCGCAGGGTCAATTTTAACGTGTTCGAGAAGATCAGCTGGAATGTTTAGACGAGGTGGGAGTCTTCTTTCTAAAAAGGATCCGGCTTTCAGTCCGAGGGTTCGGTTCTGCTCCGACGCTGCGGCGATGGGCGAACGTCTTCCTCTGCGCCTGGTTGTGTTCAGAGTCCCAGCCGGGCGGAGGCGGGGCCTCAGACGTACTCCTTGGTGCTGCTGGGGGGGCCCGAGCAGGAACCGGCCGCAGGCGGGTACTTGGAGACCTGCTTGTTCCTCGGACAGGAGGCCGCCAACATGGCCCCGCCCAGAACGTCCAGCAGGGAGCCGCCCCACGCGATGAAGATGGCGGCGCCGAACTCAAACCTGCAAACAGTTTTCTTGTTATTTGAACAAAGTCCTCCCACATTCTGTTCTGGTTCAGCCACTTTGGGCAAATTTAAACTTTGGTTCAGCTAATTTCAGCTCCTTTCACATTATTTCGGCTAACTGCTACATTTTTGTGCTTCTTCTAACTTCTTTCTGCCCCTTTCAGCTTATTTTAACAAGTTTCTGCTTTTTCTGCTATTTCAGCTACTGTTAAGCTGTTTTTTTTTTTTGCTAATTTCAGCTAATTCCACATGTTTTGCACTCATTTAAACTTTTTTCAGTCTATGTCAGCAAAAATGTGCTCTCTCCACTTCCTTCTGGTAATTTAAGCTTCTTTCTGCATTTTTTTAGAAACTTTTCAGCTAATTTATTTATTTTAGCTAATTTTAGCTTTTTTCTTTAGATAATTTCACTTTTTTGTGCTAATTTCGGCTTCTTTCAGCCTAATTGGGCAAATGTGTTCTTTCTGTTTTCTTAGGCTTATTTAAGCTTGTTCTACCTTTTCAGCTACCTTGTGAGCATTTTTTAGCTAATTTAAGCTGTTTTCAGATAAATTAAAAATGTTCATGGTAATCTTTGCTCTATTCAACCTGATTAACATCTTTATGTTAATTTAAGCTTGTTATGCTCCGTTCATTTCTGCTAGTTTCAGCTTTTCTGCTATTTCAGCTACTATTTATGTTTTATGCTAATTTTAGCTTTTTGAGCGAATTCCACATTTTTAGCTTATTTCAGCTCTTTCTGCTTCCTTCTGGTAGTTTAAGCTTTTTTCCTGCCTTTTCAGCTGGTTTTTGTTTTTGCTAATTTCAGCTTTTTCTTTTTAGCTATTTTCCTAACTTTTGTGCTAATTTCTGCTTATTTAAACCTAATTCAGCAAATATGTGTTCTTTCTGCTTTCTTCTGCTAATTTCGGCTTGGTTTTCCATTTTAGCTGCATTTCAACATGTTTTTAGCTAATTTCAGCTGTTTTTCAGCAATAATCTTTCACACTAAATTGTCACAGGAAATGTAATTTCTCTACCTTTACTTCCTGGTTTATTTGACAGGAAATGCCCATCCTACTTCACGCTCTCAGTGCATGACTCTCGGCTACTACCACGCTAAATTTTAGCTTCGCATCGGTTAATCTTGCTGAGTTGTAGCCATTTTTCTGGTTTCTACAGTTGACTGGCTGTGGCTGCCATCTTGAATTGCGCTGACTCCAAAAGTTAAAGAGCTGTAGAAGATCATCCAGTGACGACTTCCTGACAGTTTAATTGGAAAACACCCAACGGTTCAGGTGATATTTTGTTAACAGACAAACGCGTTGGAGCACTACAAGTAGCCTAGCTGTAGGGAGTTGGTCCTACACCCCCTTCAGTTCTTCTTCAGGTAAAATATCTTTAAAATAATGAAACTGAAAACAAGACGGCCGACTCACTTGGTGTTCACCGGCGTGTAGGGGTTGTAGAACGCTCGGATGATGTTGTGAGCGAACCAGGAGCACGCCACGATGGCACACAGTCCTGCAACCAGAGAGTCAACACGTCAAAACTCAAGACGAGGCTTTGTTTCCACCACGCGGACACGTCCCTGTGGACCTCCAAGTTTTGTGCCGGTTTGGTTCGGTCGCCCCCGGGGGGCAGATGAGTGGGAAGAAAGCTGTTTGAACCGAACATCAAACGCCTCCTCCTCCTCAGAATCCAGTAAATTACACAGTTCAGCGTTGGTCAACCCAGAACCGAAGCTTCGTTCAGTTTCTGGACTTCACCGTTTATTCAGCGGTCGAAACTTTCATGAACAAATTAATTTAAAGTAACTTTTTCTGATCCGGAGCTGTAACTTGAGCTCAGGACACTTCCTAAAAAAAACCAGCCTCAGTTCTGAAAACATGGGATTTTGTGCCACATATACTAAAATAAAACCTAAAAGTAAAAAATATATAATTTTATCCACAGTGGAACATCGTAAACACATCAGACGTTTAAGGAACATTTCTAGTCAAAGGTAACTTTTTTAATTTTATGGCAGCAAAGCGTCTGAAAACGTTGAAACAAGGACAACAAAAGGTTAAACGTCGGTGTTATGAATAATAAACAGCTGGAGGATCATTTTGTGTCTAATTGGGTCAATTATCAAGAGGTCTGGGTATAAAAAGAACTTTTTAGAGAGGCTGACTCATTTAGAAGTAAAGATGGGCAGAGGTTTACCGCTCTATCAAAACACGTGTTTAAATAAAGTGGAA